ACGTTCAAACTCACTTAAATTGTGATAACCTGCCTTTGTAGCAGCAGTAACCGATCTAACAACTGTGCCAGACGCTGGCTGTTATATAGTCGTTACCGACCGGAGCGCCGTATTTGATTGGTTCCAGATTTCTTTATTATTATAGAACGCATGGCTGTACCCATTTTTTGGCTCTTCAGTGCATTTGGTAATGTATTTTTAATTTTCAATTCACAGTATAAAAACATTAATGGGACACTGGCATTTTTTTGCGATGAGGTAATAATTTTGCTGCGTCTTCCAGACGAGAGACCTCGTATATACTATCGTATCGCTCAGTACAATGGGAACTGTCCCCAAAATGTAAACTGTACATAATACAGTGGTGAATTCCCAAAGTTTCACGTGCTTCGCTTTGAAATACCGAATTCTAAAAGCGCTCCATACAGTTTTTCGTATTATTTGTAACGGATACATAACCAAATATTGAAAAATATAATCTTCTAATTCTTCAATCTCGTGAAACACTCGCCAAAAGAAGCATGATAGGTTCAAATTTTCAATTTCGAAAGTTCACAGGTTTTAATGAAAAATCGGCTTATCCGTTTCTATAACCGCTCTGCGCTCTACTCGGGCAAAAGAATAAGAAAAAAGTCCCCTACGACTGGAATCCCGGCACAGAGATCATTAAGCCATAGCGCCCACACTGCTATCGCGAAGGTTGATTCGTGCCAGCTAATAATACAGTGGAACCTGTACTAAGCGAACACTATTGGTTCCGAGAAAAAAAGAGTATTTCAGATGGATGGTCGTTTAATACGGGAAATGTTATTTTTACAAATAAAATGGTATATTACTAGACATTGAATGTTTAGGAAAATTCAAATTATCGTAGGTTTATGAAAGATACTTAGTATATGAGCACGAATTATGTAAAAATGAAACGTAATGACCCACTTTTATTTTGCCATTTTGACGTAAAAGTCTTTCTAGAATTATTTACTATCTTGCTACATGCTCTTAAAATATTTATATCTCTTCCTGAATAAAAATAAATATTCAAAACATTTTCAGTTTTGGTACTCTCAACAATTGTTTACCGGTAGCGAATCTCGATTTTCTAGTGTAGACTCCAATGTCATTTGGGTATGTATGGCACATTCCATGTCTCAGGAACCCAAAACCTCGCTTTTATTTTTAACATTTTTTTAAAACTTCCAGAGATGGGTTTTGAGTGATCGCTGAGCTCGGAACTAACCCAAACACTCGCGTGTTGGGGGCCCAAAGTCGATAACCTTCACATCTGACAATTTTCTACAATGTCCTTCTAGGAAGGTAAGAAAATTAGTGAGGAAGGATCTGTTAATCCGAAGAATTAAACGTTTAGGTCTCATCAAAAGAATATAAACTGAAATGGAGATTGCAGCCGTGATACGTCAGTGGCCATAGTTACTTGATTCCC